CCCTTAGGGCCCCATATGGTAGGTTCTTGGAGGGTTAGGGTTAGAGTTCAGCACCCTAAACCCCTAAACCCCTAAACCCCTAAACCCTAAAACCCCTAAACCCTATAGACCCTAAACAGAACTGAGAGCCAACCCGAGGGACGGAGTCCCAACCTCAGCCTGGAGCTCTGAAACCTTGAGCCTTGAACCCCCAAACCTAAGCCCTACCTGGACCCCGAAGGTATGTAGAATAATAGCCCTTTTAAGGTATTGGGCCATTATTTCACCTACTTTGGGGGGTTTAGGTAAGGCGAGGATTAATCCAGAGCTTGAAAAAAGCCTCAGCCGCGAAAAGCAGTGAGTTGAAAACCCCAAAACCCCTAAACCCTGGTTCGCATCTGTGGGTTTAGGGCTTTAAGGTAGAAATAACCTCTACAGGATCCCTCTAAAAAGGGTACTAGAGCCCCTGAAACCCTATATAGTAGGTACCTGGCGGGTTAGGGGCTCGGAGCACTCCGACCCTCAGACCTTTCGTAGGTGTTGCACTGCCGGCGGAGAAGGCTCGCCCAAGCGCTGGACGGCCTCAGAAGGACGCCGGTGTCGGCTTAGAGGGTATAAGGGCTTATATAAGGGGTTTAGGGGGTTTAGGGTGTAAGGGTTGAAGGGTTCAGGGTTTAAGGGTTCAGGGTTTCGGCCAGGGTTCAGGGTCTAGGATTTCATCGATCTTTTTTTTTAGGGTCTTGGTCTCAGGATTGAAGTCTAGTAGGCTAGGATTCGATTGCGAGGACTTTGGGCTCGGGCCTGGGGCTTGGTTTCAGGTTGAAGGCTTGGGGTTTTTGGCATGCAGGGTATACAGAGTTTCGCTTTAAGAATTGGGGTGTGGGAGGCGTTGTGCTTTGTTGCATTTTGCTATATCGTTTGTATTGTTGGCTTTGGGCTCTTTGGCATTCGGTTCGACTTGCTGGCTTATGCTTGTGCAGAATTTCGCGCCACTTGGGATCGTTGGTTTTCTTCTCCAGCACCCCAAATTGAATCTAGGGATACTTCATGCGAGCCTGCAGTCTATAATGGCACGCTTTTTCAATGCGGGTTCATGCCCGTGGGCAAACACAGGGCAACAGTTGTCAATCGAAACTGGGTTGGGACATGTTACGCTCAACAACAAACACCTGAACACAAGCTGCCAATCGTGATTTTAGATGTATCTTCATCGCCAAACCCGGCTACCGCGCTGACCCGGGAACAACAGCTGACATGCAGCAACCCAGAGGCACCTGTCCGATGGGGGTTTGCAGGTCCAAGCAACCTCGGCTGCTTCGGACTGCGAAGCTGTCGTAAAACCTAGTGATCGTAGGTCTGAATTATGGGCACTTGTACATATCCTGCGACATTGCTCTTCTGGTCTGACGGTTGTACTGAAGTTCCCGCTGCCTTGCAGCTGTTCTAGCGTTGTTGCTGTTGGTGGCGATGGTGGTGATATCGATATTGGAATTGGTGTCCATCGCTGCTTTTGCTGTTAAGACCCTATTCGCACTCATACACGACATCCTCAAACCATCTTCGTAGAATTTTATTTTACAACGCTGCAAACTGGGTTCTAGTAAATCCAGCACAGCACGAGAATCTCCGGGATACGTGCTTCAGAGGGAGAGCTTGGCAAGCACTGACCTACCCTCCTGGTGGGTTTAGGAGTTTTATATGTATATATAGGGGCTTCTAGGGTTGAAGGCTCTGTTTTTGGTTGCTGGTTTGTCGCTGTTCTGAAGCTTCCTCCTTAAGGTTGGTTTCAGCATGTTGGGGCTTCAAAGCTGTGGAGCATTGGGGTGTCAGAATACGGGGATGCTCGATTCGGGTTTGAATGAGGGTTTGGGCTTCCTAAACCCCTGAACCCTAAACCCTTGTGGGATCAGGAGCTCAAGGAGCACCTGAGAATCTACGATCTAGTTGCCGTCGAGGCACCGAAAAGGCCCACCGCCCGGGCCTGACGCGTAGGGTATACCTAAACCCCCCCAAAGTAGGTAAAATAATGCAGCCCAATATTTTACATATTTTGGGGGTTTTGGTGGGGTTTAGAGTTTAGGGCTTTGGGGGTGTCATGTATTCTGGTAATTACGAGTTATCTTCTGCTGATTTCCCACTGCACACCCAAACCCTGCTGCTACGGTAGAGTCCGGCAGAGGTAGGCAGCTGCCTCTACCTTTCAGCTCATAACACTGTATGAAGAAATTAGGCTGGCTGAATCCCGCT